ATATATATATATAAAATAATTGTTTTACTAATATTAAGAAATATATATAATTATATATTATTATTATTATTATTATTATTATTATTATTATTAGTATTATTATTATTATATAATTATTTTATTAATCAAGATATATATACACGTATACACACATACAGTGAGAATAGAAGATAAACGGTTATGTAATACAAAATTTTACCAAATATCAAAATCGTTTTGGAAGATTGTTTTAGTCATTTACATAAATTTTCATTCGTTTTATGCTAAATTCATTTTTCGATTATGTCGCATTCTTCTTTTTTTTTTTTTTCTTTCTCTCTCTCTCTTTCTTTCTCATTTATGGTTTTGTTATTTTAACGAAGGTCACGTCATTCTTTGAGAGAGAAAAAGAAATGATCAATCGTAAACACGCTATGGCATTTAATATTTGTATCCTAACGTATAAACCTCTTCTCATTCTCATCTTTCGTGTTACGCAAAAAAAGAAAAAAAGAAAATAAAAAGAAATCATAGAATCGAACGAAAGTCACGACATTAATGACGATAATATATACGAATACGACTATAATTTTTTAGAATTCGTCGAAGAGATCGTCATCAACGAAGGAAATTCCAAACAAATCGAAACTTCGTCCAATGAATATCCTTTAATAAAGGTTCATCTCACGTCGCAAATATATTTTGCTTTCTCTTGAGGAGAGGTTTATTTAATCGTCGTTGTCGTCAAAAATATATTCCACGTAGAAATCATTTTCTAATTTCTTTTTCTTATAACTTTCGCGTATCATCAATTCCAAGAAGATGATCATCGCCATTGGAATCGAATCACGTTATTTTATACAATAAAATTAATCGAACAACTTTGCACAAGTTGCCAGTTTTTCTTTTTTTTTTTTTTTTTTTTTTTAATCTGCAGAAAACGTGTTTGTACTTGTAATTTATTTTTCTTTTTTTACTCTCTTTTTCTTTTTTTTTTTTTTTTTAAGATCCTAGTATATGTAGATCAGCATTTCTTTTTTCGTTGTATTTTTTTGTTCCCTCCTTCCTTTCTGTTTTTGCATTCCTCGGATCTCTCTATAATCAGGTTACCTCGATCTATTTATGTATCTGTCTCTCTGTGTATCGCGTAATCGAGAAGGAAATGAAATTTAAAAAGAAAACAAAATATAAAAAAAAGAAAAAGCAATAGGAAGTAATGGTGAAACGGAAAGAAGTTGAAAAAGGAATTTCCGTCGGTCGCAAATTCTCATCGTCGTCGTTGTTGGCACATCATGCATGTTCCCTTCCCCTAATGTGTATCTGGACCCTCGTGATCATCATAGAGAGCATTTGGGCCAACGATAGAGGAAGAGAGCTTTGTGTTGCTTGCCCCTTCCTCCTCTTTTTCTCTTGGTTGAACACCTAGGGAGTTCTCTAGACAAGAGACGCCGCAGTTTGCCTCGTGAGTCCGAGTCGCGAACCGCTTATTGTGAATCGGTCGTATCGATAGAAAGAACTTTGTTCAATTTATTCCGATAAATCTAATAATTCACGAAACTCAGTGTGTACTTGCATAAATAATATGTACGTATGTATGTGTATATATATATATATATGTGTATATGTATATGTATATGTATATATGATATACACATGTGTACCGGCAAATTTACGTTGAAGCATCAATGACAAGATGGTCAAGATGGATCTTCTTCATGCGTCGTTTTTCTTCGATATGTTCTTTCGTTTTTCTTTTGTTTTCATCTTTTGATAAATTACCCATTTATTATTTCATTATGACGTATTTTTTATTTACATTTTATATGTGTGCGTATACACACACACACATACACACGTGTGTGTTACTGGCGAACGCATACAAACGTCGATGACAAGTAGATCCTTCTGTGCGTCATTTCTCTTCGTTTTTTTTCTCTTTCTTCACTTCATTTTTTAATAAATTAAACGTCAATTATTTCTATGTGTGACGTACTTTTATTTATGCTTTTATTTTTATTGTTCGTTCTTAAGATCTTTCCCGAAGTGTTTTATGAAAGTTAAAAATCGTTCGATATTTACGTATCAATTAAAATTATTTTGTCCTTATTTGTGTTCTTTGTTAAACGTATTCTGTGCTTTTGTGTTCGGTTAAGTGATGAACGTTATAACAAAAAAAAATGAAAGAACGAAAGAAATTATGAGTTGGTAGTACTGATATTTGCTGTTCTTTTTTTTTTTTTTACTCCCCTTGTTCGTTCTGATATTCGTCGTTTATTTGAAGCTCTCATGATAAAAATTACCGTGTAACAATTGAACGTAAATGCGTGGCCATGAGTAAACGTGTAAATGTTCGTTCATATGTGTGTATAAGGAAAAAGAAAAAAAATATATATATATATATTAGTAATAAAATATTCGTAACATAAAGACAAATGTTAAAGAAAAGTGTTAAAGCGATGGTAAAAGTATTGACTCGCGGTTTAATAATATATATATATATATATATACATATGTACATACACACATATATATCTTGTAAGAATAAATATATCGATAGAAGTAAAACCGCAAGTATAGGTTAAAAATAAGTCTTTTGTATTTATTTATTTTTTTATTATTCAAGACTGGTACAAACACGTGCTTCGATTCCTCTCGCGATCACGTTGCGTATTTTTGATCCTTTCTTTCTTTGTTGTTTTGTCGCATCAATCGAAATCCTCAGGGCCGTAACAAAATCACAAATAACTTCCAATCGTTTTATTTTTCCTCTCTTTATATTTTAAGAGAATAAAAAATAATCGTAATTCCATTTTTGTTTTTTTTTTCTTTTTCCGAATAAAAACAATAACGCTTTATTGTTTCGTTATATTTTCAAATGTTTTTTTTTCTTTTCTTTTCTTAAGAAATATTTCGTATTATATTACATTTCATCGTTCAATTCGTAATACGCGAAGACGTAATACCACAGACGTAATACCATTGAATTTCGATTCTATGCCGATTTAATATTTTTCCAAAACGTTCTTTCAATTATTTCGTATTTCATTATACTATCAATATAAGTATCAGACGTATTATTGATTTAAATTGAACTAATACGTGGATAAATCTGTCTGTGTTTATTTGTAGAGTGTTATTGATAAATATTTTCTTTTTGGTATGGAGAATAAATTTTGAAAGAGAGAGAGAGAGAGAGAGAGAGAGAGAGAGAGAGCGAGTGAGAGGAAGGGAGGAGGGAGTTTCATGGCAATATTAACTACTGTTGCGTGCTCATTTGAAGGTCGTCACTTTATTTCGTATATCGTACAAATTTATAGTTTACATTATCTATATGTTCTTAAATCAACCACGTCTAAGATCAACAATTAAATTAGTCGTCGTTAGGAGAGCGTGGATAGAAAATCATCTTCGAAATAATACGAAGGGGCGCGCACTTTCACTATATGTACACGCAATGAATTCAGAATTTCTCTTTATAAGTGAGAAATACGTTACACTTTCTTCTATTTTTTTTCTTTTTCTTTTTTTTTTTTTTTCTTTTCCTATTCAATGTGATATAAAAAATTATCGTGATGTTCCTGACCGCATTGGTGTATTTTTAAATAGTGATTCTTTATATATATATTGCAAGTATATAGAAGCAAAAGAAAACTTTTAAATATTAGAATTTTATTTTAATGTATATTTGAAAAATATACGAATAAGATACTATGCGATCTACAATGTATAAAAAGTGTTACCATGAAAATATTACGTGAGTTATGTTGTTATTATTTTTATAGGCATAAGTTAAAAAGTTAAAAAGAAAAAGTTGGTTGATTTGAAATATATGTCCCTTTTAAGTTCGTACAAAATGAATGGTAATGAGATATTGATTCCGAGTGGACATCGTTGTCCACATCGTGGATTAAAGAAGTATCCTAGTATCGATAAAAAGATATGGGATGCTAGTAGTAGGTGGATTCTTCAATGGGATAACATAGTGAAACATCCCGGTGCAAGAGCTAGAGGATGTCATTGCGATATACACAAACCACCATGGTTATATCCTGAATTAGGTACATCAATTATTATCCGTGCTGTTTTTTGATAATAGTCACAAATAATGTCATAAAATTATATACTTTTTAGCTTTTTTATTTTTTTCAAATTATTTGTATATATATATATATATATTTCTTTTTTACTTTTTTGTTATAGTTGGTAAAGACACAGATGAGCCTGACAGAGCAGTAAGTAATAATATATACATTTGAATTTAAACTTTATTCATAAAAGCGAGAAAGATCTTTTGCAAATCTATGTATTTCCATGTTGTAGATTAAGTCAGCACCTTCGAAAAGAACTAATATACTTCTAAAAAGAAGCCAATTTGGTCCAGCAAAGACACCAAGTTCTGCGCTAGGTATATACATGATTTTGAATATATTCGTTGATCTGCGATATTTTCATATATTAATTATCATAAAAGGATAATATTGTAACAGAACAGGCGCATTAAACAAAATTATTTTTCTTTCTCACAGATTGTTTTTGCATTATTTTTTATTTAGAATGCATTTGTATATTCTACACATTTAAGTTTGTTAAGCATATTCAACATTCTTTTTTTTATGCGAATGATAATTTTATTCTTTTGCACATATCATAATCTTTAATAACAATACATATTGACATTTATTGATAATTATGTTTAGACATGTGTCATGTACTTTATATCTTTTTTTTTTTACTGGCTTTAATCGATTTCTTTACTAAATATAATTTTCATACATACATTTATCCTGATAAATTTCGACTACTTTATACATGTGTTGTAATCTGTCTGTTAATATCATGAAAGTAGCACAAATTCATGCATTCCCTCCACACATCTGTGCACTGGAATAATATAATCTTTATGCTTATTTATTATTGCATCGCAACCTAATATTGATATTATTTTTGGAAGTTTATTATCAAAGCATCAATAAAGTATTGATGTTTTGTTAATAAGATTGCTAACAATTTGCTTGCATGACAGCTACGCCTGGTAACATACATGCAACGGTCCCACGAGCAGCAACCGTCAGTAGGTCTGTGTCACTAAGATCAACATCAGGTATCTAAATATTTTTTTGGCTATTACTATTCTAATATTATATTACTACCTTCTATTTAACATATAACTATATGACTGCTGGAGTAGTAGATATTGATAGAATATTAATCAAATAACTAAATAAAAAATTATTCTACGCAAAAGCTTAATTGGACTGAAAAAATTATGTTGGTCATTTGATTATGTGCATTTTGTTTTTATGTTTTTGTCTATATGTTATGTGATTGTGCCACTCTTACATATAAATACATAATTGTTACAGTAAGATGCTTTTTCACAACTATAATATCATAATTCTATTATTATATTTGAGTTTAAATACGTTACAGTTTTATAATAAAGTAATTTTATTTGTAGCTTTATTTCAAATTTGAAAAATTAATACAATCTATTATTGATAAATGTTATTATCCATTTTAAAATAAAAATTAATTTTTATTTGCATTTTATAAAATACTTAGGTCAAGCTGGTGCTGTTGATGAAGAAACATTCTTAACATCGTTTGAGGATGTATCATCTGTTAATTTGTTCTCTGCAAAGGATTTGGAAGAACAAATGAAAATTATAAGAGATACAATTGGAGATGACAAGAAAGACTGGAAACAAAGAACAGAAAGCGTATGTATTGACAAAATTTATGCTATTCCATGATTTTATGATGTTATAATATATGTTTTATATAAATTGTATTAACAGCTGAAAAAACTTAGAGCAATTGTTCTTGCTGGTGGTATGAACTATGAGAATTTTCTGGATTGTTTGAAAAGTATACAACGACCGTTTGAAGTAGCATGTACAGATCTTAGGTCACAGGTTGTACGAGAAGCTTGTATTACTTTGGCATTTCTGAGTCAGCATTTAAAGACCAAGTTTGCCAGTTTCGGAGAAGCAGTTCTTTCGACTCTAATGAACCTCATACAGAATAGTGCCAAGGTAATGATGGTGATACTGTATTTGTGAATAATATATGATTAGTAAATATACGATTAAATAATATATGATTTGAAAATATATAAAAACTGATTAATAATTAAATTAACACATTTGTAAACGTTGCTTCTCAAATATTAAATTCAATCCTGTTAATTTATTTGGTTGATAATTTTTAACATGAAAGAGTAATCTAAACTAACCATGTATATTATTATTATACTTGTTACATCATTAGGTCGTGGCAACAGCAGGGGCTGTGGCTGTTAGATTTATCCTTCAACATACACATTGCAGTAGATTCGTCCCGATTATTACATCTTCGCTAAATAGCAAAAGTAAAGACATTCGTCGTGCTTCGTGTGAATATCTAAACTCGATTTTACAAACGTGGTCCACTCAAATATTGCAAAAGCACGTAATGATATTGCAAGATGCTATTAAAAAAGGAATTGCCGATTCTGATTCAGAGGCAAGAGCATTCGCCCGAAAGTAAGTATAAACTAGTATTATTTTTCTCAAACAGATTATAATTCTTAGTCATATATGTTTAGATCATATTGGGCCTTCAAAGATCACTTTCCGGAACAAGCAGAAGTACTTCTCAACAGTCTTGATGCAACCTATAAGCGTTCACTGATGTCTCTCAGTAATAGTGGAAGCATCAACAGTTTAAATGTAGTAACGCGATCAACGAGCGTTAGTCCAAGAGCATCAAGACCTGCATTAAGTGCCACAGGTAGATATCCATTTGTTAATAATAGAAAAAATATTTAAAGAAGATTAAAAAAAAAAAAGAATAAAAAAAAAAGACATAATTATCGGTAGTCCAATGACTGAAATAAAACCCATATTGCTCTCTTTTTTTCATGCTGCTTTATGTCTCTTCTTTGCATTAAATATACGAAGGTAGTACGGAAAACTTGCATCAGGCACCAGGCCCACCTCATGGTCCGCTCAGACGTACTCCGTCGTTACCTCGTTCATATCGTCAGTCTGGCATCCCAATTCTACAAAGACCCACAGATAATCATTGTAATTGCATCATTGTAATTATTTTATGTTTCCTGCAGTTTTTCTTCTACACGTTTCAATGTAAAATAGAATTGTATTGTTTAATGATCGTTAGTATCATAGATAATTTACAGACACTATGAGCTTGGGCCACACGTGAAATATGTATATATGTTAATTGAATGTAATTCTATGTTGCAAATTCTTCTAAGATGCAAAAATTACGTAGCTTATGTTTTTACAGATCGAGTCACGCCAGGTGTTAGATCTACTAGTGCGATAGATTTACAAGCTGCCCAAAGAGCCAAAGCAAGAATGACATATGCAAATATGAGTAGATACAAAGCTACACTTCGTAAGTAATCAAATTTTTATTTTTGATTATTTTCAAAGATATATGAAAGATGCAAAAGTAGTTAATTCGTTAATTAGTTAGTTAGTTAGTTAGTTATGTATGTGTGTATGTATGTATCTATGTATGTATGTATGTATGTGTGTATGTATGGTATGTATGTATGTACGTATGTATTCCTTTTTTATTGAATTATTATTATTATGCTGCCTGAAGATAATGATCATAGTCATCAGAGTAAACAAGGTATTATTATTTTTTGCCTTTTAGTGTAATATTCGCATATTATTTTTGTAGGCATTTGCTTTAAATGCATAGGTATGTTCATTTATTTCTGCTAATTTTAATACTTTTGTCGTATAGCAAGACATAGTAAATCGCCTGATACCGCTGCAGTTGCCAGTCCTGAACGGACAGCTAGAACAAGAACAAGGGTAGCGGGGGTTTCACAATCGCAACGTAAGTATTTGAAAATGATAAGGATTTTCGTAATTTTTATATTTCTTAAAATCGTGCAATCATATACAACACATATATGTATATCATGTACATATAAATTTACATATAATTTAATAAAAATTTTTATAAACGTTTCTCTATTTTTAATGATAGCCAGCAGCAGATCGGGTTCACCGTCATCAAGATTGAGTTATACAACATATAATCGTGAAGGAGAATCATTAATAGCGAGACCAAGGAAATTATCTGGACATGGAATTCGAAGTACTGGCAATAGTCGTGAACCTAGTCCACAGAGATTTGGAATGGACAGAAGTTTTGGATGTAAAATGCGGTATGTATGCTTTTGTTTAAATATGATGATAATTTTTTTTTTTTTTTTTTTTTTTTTTTTTTTTTTTTTATAATATTAAATCAATCATCTTTGATTATTTAGAAAAATGTATGTGTATATGTAGTAATAAATTGAATCCATGTGATAATAATGATATATAATTATAATTAATTAGAGGAAGGAGTTTACATATGTCACCAACAGATAGGCCTCAGTCTAGACCAGTTATGGCACAGAAGATGTTACAGCAATCTCGTGAAGCTGAGTCTGCTTTGGCAGATGCACTTACCTTCGATAGCATTGACAGTTGTTACAATAGAGCTACAAGAGTTAAAGGCGAACACAGCGATGACAGCGAAACTAGCAGTATATGCTCAGAACGCAGCATGGACAGTTTCAGGCGACCTAGTGATGTGAGTTCTTGAAGTTTGAAAATCAGTCTTATGTTTCCCATTACAAAATAATTCAAAGTTAAAGAAAAAACAAATCAGTGATATAACATTCGACAAAGCATATTCATTGTTAGACCTTAGCTTTTCCTTATAAAAACTTCTAGTAGTGGAAGCACTTAATGCTTAATGCATGGTACATGTTTTAAGTACGAGTATTATTTCTACTTTTTCTGCTTACTATTTATTTAAGTTCGCATTTTTTAATTATTTTTTAATTATTTTTTTTAAATGCAATATCATGGGTAAATATTTGACATGTAAATATTAAAATAATACAGATAATGAATATGCTATAATTAATAGATGTATTTGATATTCGTAAAAATTCAATAGTACTAATTTTAATATTTTATTGATTCGAATAATATGTATCTCATATTACTGCTGTAAAACGCTTACAATGCAGTTTTATATATATATAGTGTATATTGCTTAAATCATTATCATATAAATATTTGTCGTGCTAACACATTATAACTTTTTTTCACGTATCAATGGTTGTGTTTACAAAGTTTTTAATATTTTGGTATTAGTAGTCTCTGGCATATTCTGATTCTATTAGTCTCTATAGGTACGTTTCTAAAATAATACGTATTTTGTATAAAAAAGAAAACATTTCTTAATGATTGTTTATTAACATATTATAAATAATTTTGATAAAACGTATCGGATCAAGAGGAGAATAATGTGAGATAAATGTAAAAAGAAAAACTTTTTAACGCAGAGTTGGGCATTCTGCGTAAGTGTAGCTAACGCATGTCTGATTTTTCATTTTCCTTTTTGTTGCGGCGTGTTTGTTTGGTTTGGACTAACGCAATGTGCCATTGTATACTTCGTATCTGTCCATCGTCCATCTACCCATTAGTCGTTCTCATGGAGTGGCTCCCAGCAAAGACTGTACCGTGATATCTGGGATCAGTCTATCCCAAAGGTTTGTGAAATTTAGTTTTTCTAGAAATTTTTTCCCCACCATGCCTACCTCTTTTTTTTTTTATAACATTTCTATTAATATTAATCATCAGTGACATTAGAAACGTTTTTTGTATTGTGCATTTCTACGTCATTTACTTGATAAATATTTATATTAATTATACATATATTTAACCGTTTGAGTCCCAAGCAGCGCGATCGCTGTGATTTTATGTCGAGAAAACCCAGCATATTTCGAGCATTGTAGACAACTGATAGTGCGGATTGTAAAATTTTTCAAAACGATGAAAAAATACGAGAATCACATTACTTACCTCAAACAAGAAGCGCTATCGCGCTGCTTGGGTATTTTCAAACATATATAGGGAAAGCGCTATTGCGCTGCTTGGGATTCTTCGACAGTGTTTTTTCAATACCGTCTGGAACTCAAACGGTTAAATTACAAATATAAATTCACATTACAGTCGATTATCAAGATCAATCTATTCTTCTTCGATTTTTATTAAGTTTTACGTTTTCTTCCATATCATTCATTTAGATATTAAATCATATTGTCTTCAATCAATCAATAAATTACAGAAATTGGATATATGAGGTTATTCTCTAATTTATAAATTTATAGATAACCGACAATAATATTTTACAAAAGAAAAAATATATTTTGTACTAGTACATGTGATTTAATAATAAAATCAAATTCCGTATTTATTGTAAATGATTTATATGTCTTTTAGGATATTAAAGAAATAATTGAAAATTGTGCTCACAAACATTGGGGTGACAGGAAGGAAGGTTTAGTTGGATTACAACACTTCCTTGCAAATGGGAATACATTGACTGCAACCGAATTGCGCAAAGTTACGGATATATTTACTAAAATGTTCATGGATTCGCATACAAAAGTGTTTAGCTTATTTCTGGATACTTTAAATGAACTTATTACAACTCACAATGAAGATCTTAGCGATTGGCTATACGTTTTATGTGCGAGACTTTTAAACAAATTGGGTACAGATCTATTAGGATCCATCCAAGCTAAAATTCATCGAACATTAGATTTTGTAAGGTAAAACATTTTTCTTTTTTTTTTTTTTTTTTTTATTTTCTCTCGAACGAACTATTTATGAAACGTTTTATCATAATGACCAATTTCATTTTTATTATTATAAATCCATCGAATTCTTTTCTAAATGCAGAGCATCCTTTCCCGGTGAACAATTATTGCCAGCTGTGATGAGATATTTAACCGATCCGACGCAAACACCAAATTCTCGTGTAAAAGTTGCAACCCTTACTTTTATTACACAAATAGCAGAGACTACGGAGCCCTCTGCGTTAAACAATTCTGCTGGAACAGCACTAGCTAGATTGCTTGACTGGACGAACGATGTCAAAAGTCAAGATGTTAGAAGGCACGCACAGGAAGCATTTATAGCGCTTTACAATTTAAATCCCCCACAAGTGACAATGATATTAGCGGAATTACCGAAATATTATCAAGTAGGTTTTACACGTTTTCACTCATTTTTAATTTAAACGAATATAAACTGAAATTGACGTTATTTTTCTTCTATCTTTTTTCTTTTTTTTATTTATTTATTTATTTATTTATTTATTTTTTTTTTTTTTTACGAAGGAAGCTGCATTACCCTTAGTCCAAAATCATTTAAGAAGGTCATCGGGATCGAGTAATCCAGCTTCTCCTGGTACACCACCACCACGAGCACAACACTCTCCTGCACGTAATAAGAAGAACGACGTTGATACGGCTGATGACAATTTAGAAGAAGTTTATAAGTAAGATAGTAATGGATTTTAAATAATTACATTAAAAATAAACATATTCCCTTCATATATTTCAAACATTTTAATCTAGAACCTCTTCCTACAGATCATTACGACGTACAACGGCGGAGATTCAAAATTATGGATTTGAGCGTTTAGAAAGAGCTACAACTAGCAAAGATAGTGGTATTAGTAATATGGCTGATTTAGAAGAAAGAATAGAAGGTCTAACGTTATCTAATTCGGTAAGGATACAATCATTGTTTTATAAAGTCAAAAGGTTTTTCTTTATTTAATAAATATTTTTACCTGTTTATTATGACAAGTAAAAATAAAAATGTAATATAAAAATATAAATATATATTTAATACGACGTTTTTAAGTAATAAATATTGTTATATATTATTATTATTGTTATTATTATTGTTATTGTTATTGTTATCATTATTATTATCAGGGAAGGTCTTCTTCTGTATCATCACCAACGCAAAGAGGACGATCGGTTACGAATATAACAGTAAATGGTTCTAGTGATACAATTGCTGGAGATCTTATATTACCTCAAGAAAATAATGGTTATAAAACTCATGGTAAAAAATAAAACTAATGATATATATATATATATATATATATATATATGTACTTTAATAAATATAACCAGATTTGATATAACCAGAGATATATTTGAAATTATTATTTTAGGATCATCCCCCGACTCAACCAAGAGACCAGAAGTATTAGATAATATGATTAAGACGTTACAATCAAAATTGACGCAAACTTCAGAAAAGGTAGCAGCTTTGCAGGAGTTTCAGTTATACGTTAGAGAAGGAGATGCCACATATGTCAAACAAAATTTCAAGTATTACTTGCATTGACTTATCCTCAAGCATTGATTTATCCTTTAGTATTAACGATTTTTTCACTTATTCTCTTTTCTTTTTATTTTAGAAAACTTCTCAAGACATTATTAGATAGGGTAAATAGCGATAGTCAACAGTTACAAATAGAAGTACTTCAGACGTTAATTGATATGCTCAAATGTCCAGAACTCTTGGAAAGTTTTTCTGTTTTTCCTGAATTGTTAGTATTGAAAGTGATCACTGCCCACAAGTTTGATGATCAAAAAGCCGATGGTAGTTCCAGCGGGGAGAGTGTTAGAGCGCCGGTAAGGATGTCAGAGGTATTTGTTTGTTCGTAATAATTATTAAATATGTATGTTTGTGTAATTTATAATAAGAAAAAAAGGCACAGGTTCTTCGGACAGCGGAGAAGTGTGCCGCGACAATTGCCACGGTTCTTAGACCGGAACAAATTATTCTCGTTGTATCAACTATAATAACAACCGAACCATATCCCTTAAATATGGGTGCGATTAAAATGCTTCACAAAATAGTCGAACATTGGGGACGCGAAGCTATAGAACCTCATCTATCGAAAATTATGCCAGGACTTATTAAGGTATACAAATTTTAAATGAACAATTCTATAATAATATACACCTTGGTCTCATTTTTTTTACACGGAGGATGCTTATCGTATAAAAAAAAGAAAGTATTTTTCGTATAAAAATGATTCAAATAAAATAAGTATTGCACTTAAGAGTGTTAAACTAATGCAAGTTATGCAAAAGGAGAAATTTAAAAAAGGAAATTTTTTTCTCTCAGAAAAAGAAAAAGAATAAATATGCACGATTTTCTTGACCATTTTCTACATACTTACTAATCAATGTGCGTTTTCACAACATTGTAAAGAAATAAGTAAAACACATTAAGAAAACCGTGTAATTATGAATCGTGTAAAAAGAGAGAACCACAGGTGTATACGTCTGATTTTTTTCGATCGAATATTATACTATAAATATTTCAGGCATACGACGATGTCGAAAGTACGGTTCGTAAAAGTGCAGTTTTTTGTATGGTTGCAATACATGCAGCAGTTGGCGAAGAAGTCTTAAAACCTCATTTGAGTTCTCTATATGCAAGTAAATTAAAGCTTTTGTATATTTACATACAACGTGCACAGCAAACGAACAGTCAACCGGCAAGTCCACGTAGCAACAGCAAGAATTAACTAACAACTAATTCTGCGACATTAAGAATCGCAATACTAAGAAGATTCGCGCGTCTAAGTGCAAGACACGAACGAATGTTGGTTAGCTTTCTCAGCAAATCGAGTCCGTGAACGTTGAGAAAGAAGAATCGTCGTCGGTACGAGTACGTTGTGCCTCCTGACAGTGATGTTACACGCGAGGGCGAATGATTACTACATATGATTTCGAAAATGAAAAAAAAAAAAAAATAAAAAAAGAAGAGGGGAAAAAATCACGCGTTATTTTCATACGCACCGATATGCGTTAAATTCGATCGAGAACACATTAGGCAAATCGTTAATAATTAATATTTTTCTTTTTCCAAATAAGATACACGACGTCTTTACATTTCATTTCGAATAATAAGATTATTACAAGCGTAGCGAATCCAATCGCGAATATATATATATATATATACATATATATATATACATATATATATACATATATATATACATATATATATACATAATATACATATATATATACATATATATATACATATATATATATATACATATATATGCATATTATATGTATGTCGGTTCTTTGAGGTAGGAATGAACCTACGCAACATAAATTAAGTGGGCAAACAGTATGACTTTATCTTTTTTTTTTTTTATTTTTTTTCTTTCTCATTTCTGTATTTATTATTAAAAGAAAAAAAAAAGAAAAAAAAAAAGAAGCACGATATTTACTCCTTTGAGATCTGAAGTTGGTAAATTGATTTCTGATGGTATATATCGTTTTACGCGTGTAGGACTGTCGTTATTGTAACAGATTGTTCCGTAAATTTTGTCATATGTTACAGAGCATATATATATATATAGTAAGATCTGTATGCATTATGTTATACGGAGAATTTTCGAAAAGAGAAACTCACGGTTTGTATACTTCTCATTTTTGGGAGACACTACGATTAGTTAGTATCGCTGTGTAAAATCATTTAGTCCTAAGTGATCTTTGTGTTTATTATTATTATTATGATTATTATTATTATTATTATTATTATTATTATTATTATTATTATTATTATTATTATTATTATTATTATTAATATTATTATTATTATTATTATTATTATTATTATTATTATTATTATTATTATTAATATTAATATTGTTATTATTATTATTTCTTTTTTCTTTTTTTTTTCTCCAATGCGTAAATGTGAATATAGATATCATCTTATTTTTCCCCATTAAACAGCGGTATTGCATAATATCTGTCTTTTATCCGAATCTTCCATAAACCTAAATGCAGGTCATGTTTAGTTGTATATAAACATATACTGATTATATGAGAGACTGATATTAAAAAAATCCTACACTACGTTGTTTAATTTGGTCGTTATATAGAACCGGAAATAAATTATATACAAAAGATCGCGATATCAAGGTCTGGAGTGTGACATGACTGTCAAGAGGGAGATATATAGGATATACGACTTCCTTTCTAGAAAACGCATAAAGGTAATGCAAGTACCAAGAAGAAGAATATGTATGTGTGTATGAAAGAGAGAAAAAGAGAGAGAGAGAGAGAAAGCAAATAGATTGTAATAGGCTTGAGGATCGTAAATAAATATCGAAAGTGATGATAATGTTTGCACCTCACACAATACAACAGTACGGCATTGTTTATGTCGAAAGGAAAATAAATAGTTTATTCGTCTAAAATCAATGTGCTAGTCAAATTTCCAAGGACGCACAATGATGCAAGAGAACACAAACGATGTTTTTGAGTAACAGAAATGATGATACGTATAATAGCATCTGAGATATTTTGTTGAAGAGAAAGAATGAGAGAGAGGGAGAGCGAGAGAGAGAGAGAGAGAGAGAACGAACGAACGAACGAACGAACGAACGATTTACGTGTAACAATAACGGAAAACAAAAAACTGAGAATAAGACTAGAGGTTTCTCGATAATCTTATGTGCTCTAGAGTAATGTTTATTATTATTATTATTTTTTTTACTATTATTACTATTACAATTATTATTATAATTATAATTATTATTATTATTATTATTATTATTATTATTATTGTTATTATTATTAAAAATCCATCGCGTTGCCAATATTTGAATGAATGCTAAATCAAAGCTAACATTAATTAGTAAAGTATCGTGCCATTGTTGTTTTTCTTTCTTATTTTTTTTTTTTTTTTTTGGTCTTATTTTATTAAAAATAAAATTATATACGCGGCGTGCATAATGACACAGTAGTATATTAAACAGGCTTACACAGACACACAGATATACATAGATATTATGCGTATGCATTTATACAGATGCGTATGTCATACGACATTGTCCTTTTCTTATTAATTATCATTAACAAAGACATGGCGGAGTACCGTCGGGAATCGTCGAGGTGTTATCGTTACAAATAATTTTTTTTTTTTTTTTTTTCTTTTTTTACATCCGTCAGTAGGATTTTTATTTTAATTTTATTTAAGTTTATTTGATTTTTTTTTTTTTTTTTTTTTGAACATTTTCTCCTTTATTATTTATATAGAAAAGGCATTATTGCCTTTGCTTCTTCTCTATATATGTAAGAATGATGTGGGATAAAAAGAGTAACGAGAGAACAAAAATCTGAAAAGAAATAATAACGAACGGAAACAGGGAGACAGGTCTCTCTGTATGTAATAATAATAATAATAATAATAATAATAAAAGCGTCTAGAAATATTTTTTTCCGACTAATAAATTTCTAATAAATTATGATGTTAATACGTATATTCAGTAAAAGAGGCAATTAGCAAAGCCAAACCGTGCCAAACATATCCAGGTGAAAAAGATTATGAAAATAATCGACAAGTAGTAGAGAGACGAAAGACGTGTATAACGTTTTATTCGTACGTATAGCATTTTACTTTCTAATATCTGTGTTAGTTTCTGCTTTTAGAAATATAACATAAAGAAAATGCTTCGTTGATAATAGTTGCCTTTTCTATATCGCTCGATTTTTTTTTCTCTTTTTTTTCTTCTTTTTTTTTTAATTCGTTTTGTGATTAATTTGCGATAGCGATAAATCACTTGTACATTATACATACATAAATACATACATATTTTCTTTTAATCCTGGAAATAAAATCATTCAGAAATCATACGGTACATCATAATATGTCATAGACCAATGAAATTTTATTATTATTATTATTATTCATTTTCTGTTTTCTTTTTTTTTTGTTTCTTTTTTTTTTTTTCTTTTATTCTCTTTATATGCTATAATATTAATGTTCATTGCTCGAGCAAATTTAGTGCAAGTTTCGCATCGTGCCTTCACGTTTTTCTTGGGTTTATTTTTATATTCCTTTTTTTTTTATTTTAATATCAGACAAAAAAGTAAGATCAGGCGAAGCATTATAACGTTCTTTCAAACAATATTGCGATATCTCGAAAATTTATACACGTAGAGATAATATCGGTAATAATAGAAATTGTTTTCAGAAGTTCAAATTCCAAGAGATCTAAATTTTTCGACTTATTTTTTCCTCTCATATCTCTGATATATCCATTGTCTTCATATATTCATTTATTCATTTATTCATTCATCCTCCGATTTACAAAAAAAAAAAAAAAAATCACTTAAATGTGCGAGACGATGGTACATACTATCGGTATCGATTGTGTATATATGTATACATATAGTATTAAAATAATGTACAACATACATATTATCTAGTATTTAAGTGAGGACAATTAGGAGAATACATCGTCACTGCCTCCAGCGTTTGGTCGTACCGACCGTGATTTTGCGTTTTTCTTGGCAAGCAGCCCTCCTGGAGCTTGCTTTATAATATTATTCTTATTTTCAAGGGAAACAGAAAAACAAAGAAGAAAAAAAGAAAAAAAAAGAAAAAGAAGAAAAAAGAACTGAGAGGATTTCGAAAAACGTTCTTCCGTTTTTTCTTTTCTTTTCTGCTTTCTTTTCTTCTTTCTTTCGTTCTTTCTTTTTTTTTTTTTTTTACGATATATACAGGGTGCGTGTTCTGTAATTAATAATTGATGATACAAATATGAACGCGATAATTCTATGCAAAGGAATAAGTCAAAAAATGTACACTTTTACATTTTTATTTCAATTGATTTGTTTTCTTTTTTTTTTTGCTTTTCTTTATAATCAGTTACAAGACATTTAGTAAATCGTTTGTGTTCGTAAATCGATTATTTTTCTTAAAAAAAAAAAAAAAGGAAATAAGAGACAAGTTGAACATTATTATACTATTCGTTCGAGATTTGTAATTTAGATTCTTTTTTTTTAGGAAACAAATAATTTTACGAAAATTAACAAATTAACGAATCACAAGCGTTTTTATGTGTTTTGTTTCAAATTTGTTAATTAGATTAACTTAATTCAGACATAATGAAATGGGCAAAGCCAATGTTCGAATCACAAAGCTATAATAGATGTTGAAAATTAAAGGGTAATAACTTATCTAAAGATTATGATGTAATAACTATTTAAGTGCGATTTTGCTGGAGGTTTTTAACAAGGATTAACGTGAGAATAACGGACATACGTTAATTCCAGATGATGAGATGTGGCTATCGATTATGTTCTAATAATTCTAATGCTTATATTATTCTTACCCTTATCCGAGAAAAAAAAAAGAAAAAGAGAAAAAGAAAAGGACAAAAAAAATAACTTATTTGTATTGTAATAAATGAATGTTAATATTTACACGCTTCTATAACACAAATCAGTCCGTTATAATGCTAGATTATCGTATTCGTAAAGCTACGTGCTGTTTGTTGCTTGAAAAATATTTATCGACGACAATTGGTATTCCTTTCTATACGACACTATTCTATATATTAGATATGTTCTATCTCGGGAGATACATACATACATACATACATACATACATACATACATACATACATACATACATACATACATACATACATACATACATACATACATACATACATACATACATACATACATACATACATACATACATACATACATACATACATACATACATACATACATACATACATACATACATACATACATACATACATACATACATACATACATACATACATACATACATACATACATACATACATACATACATACATACATACATACATACATACATACATACATACATACATACATACATACATACATACATACATGCATATATACTTTTTATTGGCATAAGAAAGCAATGAGATAGATCAATACGATC